AACACAAGAAAGCAGCCGTTAAAGCTCTAGTAGACTGCGGAGCGACAAATCTCTTCATCAGTGAAAAGTTTGTCAAAAAGAACCAAGTCCAAACCAAGCAGTTATTGTGAGCGATGTTGATCTGTAATATTGATGAAACAGACAATTCCGCCGGACCAATTACAAGTTACGCAGATTTAAAGCTCACGATAGGGGATCATGAGGAAGAAGTAGCCTTTCTGATCACAGATCTAGGAACCGATAATGTCATCATTGGAATAGATTGGCTATGATACCACAACCCTAGTATCGATTGGAACGCAGGAAGGGTGGCATTAGACCGTTGCCCGGTTAAATGTCAAGAAGCCAAGGTCAAGGACAAAAAGACCAAGGCGAAGAAGCGAAGAGCCACAAACTCTTCGATCCCTTCGGTGTTGCCCGATTTGATACCAGCAGAAGATGACAAAGATGAGGATATCGAGGAAGCCTCTATCCATCATCAGGTTCAGTCGAACAGCTTCAACTCTAAATCGCAAGGACATGTGGGTACTATACCTGTCAGGCTTGAGGAAGAAGAACAATCAGACCTTGCTACTACTGTTGGACACAGAGTTACCAAGAATGTGCCTGAGATGGAGGAGGTCGAAGATAAGGATTCATCACGGAATGTGTGGATCAGGTACAAGAGCTCTGTAGCATCAGAGTTAGCGCAGCAGGAGGAGAAGAAGAAGGAAAAGAAGCCCATAGAGGAAATGGTGCCAGACTGGCTCCATGACTATCTTAAGGTCTTCTCCGAAGAAGAGTCTACTCGATTCCCTGAGTCTAAGAAGTGGGATCATAAAGTAGATCTCAAGGATCCTACTGACCTTCCTCCCAATGTGAAAGCATATCCCCTGTCACCCGCCAAAAATGAAGCATGTGAGAAGTGGCTCAAGCAAGAGTATGATTTGGGACAACTGAGAGATTCCGAATCTCCAGTAGCAGCTCCTTTCTTCTTTGTTGCTAAGAAGGACGGAAAGCTCAGGCCCATCATGGACTATCGGAGGTTGAATGAAAAAACCATCTGAAATGCATACCCTCTCCCTCGTTCTCAAGATCTCATCAATCATCTCTCCGGTGCCAAGCTTTTTTCAAAGATGGACGTTCAATGGGGTTACAACAATATTAGAATGAAAGAAGGAGACCAGTGGAAGACCGCCTTCAAAACTCCTTTCGGACATCATGAACCAGTCGTAATGTACTTCGGCATGACGAACTCCCCAGCTACTCTCCAAACTATGATGGACCAAATCTTCCAAGATCTAAAGGAAGGCAAGGTTGTTGTAGTCTACATTAACGACATCTTGGTCTTCACCAACGGTGATGTAGAGAAACATCGGAAGGTGGTGCGCAAGGTACTACAGAGACTGCAGGACAATGACCTTTATCTCAAACCGGAGAAGTGTTCCTTTGAGAAGAAAGAAGTGGAGTTTCTCAGTTTGATCATCAAGGATGGACATGTCTCTATGGATCCGGTCAAGGTTAAAGGAGTTCAGGAATGGCCCACTCCTACCTGTGTCAAGGATATCCAAAGATTCATGGGATTTGTGAACTTTTATCGTCGATTCATTCTCAGTTTCTCGAACATTGCCAGACCCATGAATGAGCTTATCAGGAAGAATGTACCATGGGAATGGACAGACAAGCAGGAAAAGGCTTTTAGAACCCTCAAAGACAATTTTATGTCTGCACCCATACTAGTCATGTCAGATGCAAATAAGAAACAGAAGATTGAGAGCGATGCATCTGACTATGCCACTGGTGGTGTACTTTCTCAGTTGGAAGAAGATGGACTATGGCACCCAGTGGCCTTTTTTAGCAAATCAATGCAAGATGCAGAGCGTAATTACGATATTCACGACAAGGAACTTTTAGCTATCATCCGTGCATTGGAGGAGTGGAGGCATTATGTGCAGGGCACACCTCATCCGGTAGAGATCTGGACGGACCATAAAAACCTCGAGTACTTCATGACAAGCCAGAAGTTAACTCGTAGACAGGCGAGATGGTCCTTGTTCCTTGCAGAGTACAACTTCACTCTACAACACAAACCGGGAAAGATTAACAACACTGCCGACGCTCTGTCCAGGAGGCCAGACCACAGAGGGGGGGTAGAAAACGACAATTCCGATCACGTACTTTTGAAACCCGAGTTTTTCCATATCAAAGCCGCAAAAAGAGGTCAGATTCTGATAGAAGGAGAACATTCGCTGTTGAAACATATCAGAAACTGCACCGATTTAGATCTGGAAGTCCGAAATGCTATTGAAACTCTGAAAAAGGCCCCTGTGCAGTTGAGAAGAGGATTGGAAGAATGGAATATGGAGGATGGACTCATTATGTTCAGAGGATTAGTTTACATTCCCAATAACAAAGAAATACGTCGCTCAGTGCTAGAGATCTTCCACGACTCGCCTGCAGCAGGACACATGGGACGTGCCAAAACTCTCGAACTTGTCTTGCGTAACTATTGGTGACCTCAGATGCAGAAATGGGTCCAATGACTACGTAGATGGATGTGATTGATGCAAGCAAACCAAGGTGCTACTGTCAAAACCCCACGGACCCTTGAAGCCAAATGAAATTCCAGAAGGACCATGGCAGACTATCAGCTGTGATCTTATCATTGATCTACCCATCTCCCAAGGAAAGGACAGTATTCTAGTAGTCGTTGACCGCTTCACCAAGCAAACACATCTTGCTCCGACCACCAAGGATGTTGATTCTAAGGGAGTTGTGGACTTATTTCTCAATCACGTATGGAAGTTACATGGGACACCAAAGAAGGTGATCTCAGATAGGGGAACACAGTTTGTGTCCAAGTTCATGCAGGAAGTCTCAAAAAGACTAGGAACCAAGTGGTCCATGTCAACAGCATATCACCCACAGACTGATGGACAAACGGAACGAGTCAATCAAGAAGTCGAACAGTACCTACGACTCTTCACATCCTACTGTCAGAATGATTGGGTTTCTTGGCTTCCAATTGCTGAATTCATGCATAACAATTCAGTAACCATCTGTCATATACCGGATCTGAGTACCCCCAGTACCACCTATAAGCATCCCCACCCCTGGTCCGACCCCCTGTTTCCCTGTCCACTCCATTCCTCCTTCCCTGACAATGCATGAAGTGCATCTCAGCAAGATTAGCCCTGCTACCTCTGCCTGACCCCATTCCGCTTTTCCGACACTACCCCTATGTCCCCCGACCCCATACCCCTTCCATCCGACCCTATCTGGGGTTCCGCTCCTCTGCCCTATTGGTCTGCCCGATCCTACTCCTACTCCCTCCGCTTTTCCGACCCACAGGGGTCATTCAGTTCCACTTGTATTCCCCCACCTGACTGTTAGTCCGTCCGACCGCCTCACCAGTCCACTCCTAGACTAGGAACCACTCAACTGGTCCTATCCCCATTTAGTATCCTAGTTCTGCTTTGTCGCGTACATACTGTTCTCCAAGCCTTATTCTTGTATGTCTCAGTCATCCTATTATAACCCTGTACACTCAGCACATAGCCTTCTGCTATGCTATGCTCATCACCTAGAGTATATAAACATATGTACATTTGTCTGTAGATACTCAGTCTGAATATTACCTTTTCTAAGCCCTGCTCTTCTGTTCTTTGACTTGGGCCTGATCCTAGTCAACACCTGCTAAAAGCCGGCCTAGGGGATTGACTCCCTAGGTTGGCCATCCTCCAATCCTCCAATCCTCCAATCCTTCAATCCTCCAATCCCCCGTTCCTCCGCTCCTCCGCTCCTCTGCTCCTCTGCTCCTCTGCTCCTCCGCTCCTCCGCTCCTCCGCTCCTCCGCTCCTCCGCTCCTCCGCTCCTCCGCTCCTCCGTTCCCCCATTCCCTCGTTCCCCCATTCCTCCATCCCTCTGCTCACCCGACTTCCCGTGCGTTGGAACTAGACCCCACACTCTTGCATCCATCCCCTCCGTTCCGCTCTGCTTTGGACTTCGTCCAAGCAGTTCCTTCCACTCGCTTCTACTGTTGGTTCTGACCGCAGTAGTCTCCCACCTCCCTCCTGTCAGGCGGAACAACCCCCGCCCGACTTTCCCATGCTCACCTAGTAGTCCGTCGGTCCTCCTTCAGAGGACCCCCGTTCCGATGTCCTGTCGGAACCCATAGAACTCATGTTGGACTACATTCCGAAATTAGGGGCACGTACTCGGATAAGGGGCGCAGCGTACAAGCTGAAGCCAAGCCCCTCAGACTCCGCTTTACCCCTGAGTATGGTCTTAACAGTTAGTTAGCGTAAGTACTCCTTAGACTTAACCTCTTCATTTCCTACGCTTGTAGTGACTTAGACGTTCACGCTCAATACCATCTTGTTCGTTATCCTCTTGACTGAGTCCTAGTGGTTGTGTGCTCGACTTCATCATTATTGGTGAATGTTGGTCATAACATCAACATCATGAATGGATGACATTGTGTTACTATTGTGTTACATCATGTGACTGTCCAAACCAGTGGTTGACCAAAGTTGTGATATGTTTTGTCAAGTAGCATATATCGGGCATTGCCGACTGGGTTAGAATACATTGTCATTCTGATAACTGCACCTGTAGTTCCCACGTACCTGATCCAATTAGACGTGACAGCTGGGTGTGCTGGTGCGTCTAAGTCAAGTAGCTTTTAGCTCTACACACCCAAATGAATAAATACTCAATACTGTGTTCCCTTGGAGGGTGCTGAGGGCTACCTACTAGAGGCTGTGGGCAGTGTCGGCTAGTGGCTGATGTGCCCTGCGTGCCTGCTGCCATATTTAGAACCCACTAGCACCGGGTGTAATATCCAAAGCCACGTCACTGCTGTTGACGTCGGAACCTTCATGCTCACTGTATGCGACAGCAAGCTTGCATATCTCGCGACCAGATGTGTGGATTTGAGGTGGACCTTTTTGTATAGGTAGAGACTAATGTTATTAGGTAGAATACGAGGGTTCAAACAATATAGTCTACAATGTCAACAATTAAGCTTCTCCCTCGCTAGTGTCCTCCTCCTCAGATGTATCAACAAACTCTGAGCTTTTCAGAGCCTGGGCAGATGTCCCGGAGGCTCGTACACGCTTGGTCGGACGACCATTCTCCTTGCCCTTCTGTTTGCAAGCTACCCCTGCATCAGAGCGCTTCTTGCAAGGTTTGCTGATGACCTCTCCTCTCTTGCAACGTGCAGCAAGTCCTGTGACAAACTCATCATGCTGTCGAGGAGTCATGCGGAACCAGCGGCAGTAGCCCTCCCTCAGCGCATCGTGCAGCTTCCAAAGGGTGTTGAGATCATTGATGCTTGTGGGAGACTGGAACGGGACATCCTCGGGCCAGCCCCTTAGATCAATCCCAAGTTTCTCCTTGATAGCAGTATCAAAATTTGTGTAGTTGATGCGGATGTCGCGTCTCTTTATTATAGTCCCTAAAGTGGCAGTTAATATTGATTTTAGTGCGATAATGAAAAAAAATCGTACTTATCCCTGAGTTAAGGAGCTGTGTGCAAATATGTTGCATGTTTTGCACCATTTCACGTTCATCAATGCCTAGTATATAGGAGTCAGTGTATGTATAAAAACATGTAACATGAAACTTACTTCGACCTGACACACAGGCCCATTGTTCTAGTTTTCTCGTGATTTCATCAGCCTTGGTTTGCAAGACATCCTCTCAGAAGTCCATCACATTGTCCGTCCTGAACCATGTTGCCTGTGTGGTGTCATATACATGGCCACGTGAGGCAAAAACACATGCATAGATTCCAGTTCAAACCACGAGACTATCAAGCTACTCATTTGTCAGCTAAGTGTTAGACTGGCATGAAATCAAAACTTACTATTTTAAAAACATTGTCCAAAGTTGATTGGACATCACGCGCTGCTGCTGAGTTGGTGGTGTGAACACTTATGTTCTGGAGTGCTCGATGCTCGTTGAGTCTGTCAATATATTCTTGCTGATCCTCGATGTCCAGGTTCTGCATGCTCTCATCAGACTTCACCATGTCCCGGATCTTGTAAAGTGAGTATTTTGCCCTGCAAGGTCGATCTGTTATTTCAATCAAGAAATGACGACACCTGAAAGCATGACAACTCACCTGCATTGACTTCCTGAGCCTTTGTGTGTATGAGAGCATTGGTGAGTTGAACATTTCGATTCCCTTTGTAGTGTTTTTCACCTCCCATGAGCTTCTTCACCTTATCTGCAGTGATGCCGTGCTCAAGTGTGAGGGCGTCAATCTTCTCATTATGCTCTCAGAGCAGTTGCTGGATGGCAGTATGCAGTCCGTCTTCGGCCTCCTTGCGTTGTTGCGACAAAATCTTGCGGGATGCTCTTTGTGTGTTGGCACATGCCTTCTGAGCAGCATTGAGGGGCACACAAGGTGTGAGCACCGGCCGGTTGGGGTTTATTGTGGCCCATGAGGAGTTGTTGGCATCAGGAACTGTTTCACCGGTGCCTTGTTGCAGAACATGCTCTGATGCATCAGTCAGTAGCAAGGTCTGGGTCAGCTCGTCACAAGTTGAGTCACATTGAGACAACGAGTTTGGGGGAGTTGATATTGTAGGCATGATCGGTGGCAAGGTCTGGGTCAGCTCGTCACGAGTTGAGCCGCATTGAGACAATGAGTTTGGGAGAGTTGAGATTGTAGACATGTCTAGAGTCGTGTCACGTGGAGCTGATGGGTTTGGGGGAGTGAATGGTGACCGCAACTCTTCAAATTGGCTATCATGTTGATCTAGAAGGTGACCTAGGGGGCGTAGTTGGGGGAGTGACAGTGACTCTTGCATATTGTGCTGATCGAGAAGTTGCCCTAGGGGGGGCAGCTGCGGGTAAACATTATTGTCCCAGGTTTGGTCCGACGAGGGTGCGAATGCGTAAGGGTTGAGTCCATTGAATAAATTTTCCGTGAAGCTGAGGTGCGGGTCGAACTCCACACCATGCATGGACAGTTGGGTTAGGTTGGTTGAGTGTCCCATCGGAAAAAAATTGAGGAGGGTATTGTTGTGGTGCTTCGAGCGGGACATGAGTCAGTATCAGAATCCTTACACCAAAAATTACGATCACTTACTTGATGGATCGGAGGAAACCACCGTAGCATAACAGATCCGAGTCAGGGAATACAAAGTTGGCCATGCTGGAGAGACGTTGTGCTCATGATCTCACGGCAAAAGTTTGCGACACGCTGTCAAACAAGCAAAGGATGCGTCAATTTATGTGGAAAGTAAGAAAAAATATTATTACCGTTGTCAGGTCTTGAGGAGATGAGTATCACGTGCATGCCAACCTCCCCTGATGAGGCGACCTTCAACAGGGTGATGACACTGGCTGCGCTCATGGGAACCAAACGACATGCACTGATGCTCAGCATCTTGACTGGCCATTTCAAGGCATTTTCCTGAGTGAACGTTGACAACGGTGGCTAGATTGGTACAGCATACGTGTCATGGTACACAAAGGTCAACTCATTGTTTCAATTGCGCTGACACAAAGGACACACCGACATAGGAATGTAGGGTTGTATTCTAGTATCTGTACATTAGTAGGGGAAATAACGAATAGAAAGTAAGTGAGCTCACACCCCAAATGGCGCCCAGCCATTGCCAGTTAGAAGAATCACATCTACATGCTGTAGGACATGGTTGTTGCCGGTGTAGTAGAACTTGTAGGTATATTGCTAAGTTATAACATATAGCGCCACATAGCATCTTACCTGCGAGTGGATGAAACAACATGGCGGTTGTTCTTGAGTACTGGTAAGTTGAATGGGATCCATGTTGCATTGCAGCAACGAGTGGCCAGAACTGAATGGTAGCTGCCAAAGGGTACATGCTAAGGTAAGCTCGATGATACAAAGCAGACATGCACTGGCGATTGAGCTCAATGACACGAGACAGACATGCACTTTGGCACGCGCAATAAGCACACCTGCATTACGTACTATTTTGGATTACACTATTTTAAGATACATGGTCATTTTGCCTCCGCTTTTGCCGGCGGCAGAGTCTTGACCAACTTACCCAGAGCCTCTAGAGGTGCGTGCATTCACTGTTCTACCTTTCTCGATCTATATTAACCCACATCATCAGCTCCTAACATGATTTTATGCGTCACTCCATGCTGCAAATCCATCGATATCACAGACAACCAGAGTATGTCATCCAATTCCTCTTCGCTGAAATGGGTACTGCAGGTTCAGTGGATGGTCAGTTCAGGGTGTTTGGTCATCAGACAACCAGAGCACATCATCCAATTCCTCTTTGCTGAAATGGGTACTGCAGGTTCAGTGGATGTTCGGTTCAGGGCGTTTGGTCATCAAAGGTTGCTTCCAACCTTGCTGCAAATCCATCATTACTCACTTCCACTAGTAAACGATACATGATCGCACCTCCTCAAATTCTCCATGAAGGTGTATGCAAATCAATCTTTCATGGTTCAGGGCGTTTGGTTATCAAAGGTTGCTTCCAACCTTGACACAAACCCATCATTACTCACTTCCACTAGTAAACGATACATGATCGCACCTCCTCAAATTCTCCATGAAGGTGTATGCAAATCGATCTTTCGTGTTGTGTTGTTATATTGGTAGGCTTTAATGTGGCTCACATTGGTCCATCAATGCGATCAAGAGCGGTTTCCAGGCCCAGGTTGGCAGGAGGAAAGCAAGAGCGAAATGATCTATCCATGTTGGCATCTGCGTGAACTAACGACCATCTGCATTGCCTTTTATTAGTCTGAACGTGTTTTATTGTTCAATACGTAGAACATGATGGGATATTGATCAACTGTGCATTATTTAGGACTTTGCCAGACCAGTGAATCATAATGAAGGGCATCAAAGTACGTCTCAACTCCAAGGTCCATCAATACCAACAACTGTTACAGTTGTCTGTGACACCTTTCATTTTCCTCTTCACCCTTTCACATCTTCACCTCTTCACATTGACACCATGTCACAGTGTCACCATTTCCTGATATCACCCTATCTAGGGTTACTCTCCGACTTCACCTTATCACAGGTGCACACCCCTATTCATTGATCTGAGATCAATCTCGATCTATCCTCGGCAAGTCCTCGGATATTACTTACATGCTGATACCTAGTGTATTCTCACAGACCCTTAACATGCATACACCATGTGTATTCCCATGAACACTTATCTATACTTATATGGACATATTACTTACTTACCCTAGACCCTGGACCCTGACTTACTATTGTATATAAGCAGGTCGTAGTCTCGATGATTCCTCATCTTGACCTACACTGGAATTACCCAGATACATCCTCAGACTACTAGTTAGACACTAGTGAATCCACCTTGATTCCCTTGACTTCTCTAGAGTGCCACCTCTAGTAGATTGATTGACTTGAAACCTCCTCTGATTACCATCAGCGTAACAACAACTCCTCCCATGCACAGACATGCAACTTGACTGCATCTAAAGCAGATGCTATTCCATCTCTTAATTGATCTGTAAGAGGTCCCTCAACTGCACGGGCATCAGTGCATAAGGTGTATGCCTGCTGAAGCAACTCCTTGGCCTCAGCGAGCCCTGCATCACATCCTGGCTTGACCGAATCCCAGCCCTCTTGGTCTACCGCAGTCACGATCAACATGCCATTTGATTCCAACCATTCATATTGGGTTGTCCCTGCACAGGTAACCTAGATTTAACCATAAGCTATTGAGATGCTGAAATAGATCTTGAGTATCCTAAGTGCAGACATAGGTAATACACACATGACTTTAGCGAGAGTGCACTTACCAGTTCTGCCCCCCTACTGACGGCGCCATCGTGTGCGCGACTTCACCTGTTCTTGAAGTCGGTGACTAGAAGTGCGTGGTCAGCACTCAAGTAATGAGATCTGAGAGACCAACGTACCGCGCGTAGCTCTCTTTTTTTGATTCAAGTCATGCTTCTCGACGCTCCTCTGCAGTTTTGTATTTGGTGCACATAATGTGAGGTGTTGAAGAGAAGTCAAAAGTTTTTTGTAAGCTATACAGTTGATAGAGCGTAATTCATGAATGCAGATTCAGCCACACTTCAGGACATAATCTTACCTTGTTCATGAATGCAGATTCAGCGACACTTTGGGACACAATCTTTCCTCAGATTTCTTCTTCAATTGCTATCAGAAATACTTAGTATTTTTACTACTTTACCTATGTAAGTTAGATACTGGTACTTGGCAGCAGGATTTCCATAATATATAAATGGTATTGGAAGGGCATTGGTAGCAGGATTTCCGTAATATATAGACGGCATTGGGAGAACATTGGTAGCAGGATTTCCGTAATATATAGACGGCATTGGGAGGGCATTGGTAGCAGGATATAATATATAGATGGCGTCGGGTAGCAGGATTTCCGTAATATATAGATGGTGTTGGGAGGACACCCATAAACCAAAAGCTACAATATATCTAACTATCAAGTGCCACCCAAGTCAATAGCATCTACAAGCCCTGATAAGTCCTCCACTTGAGCCCACAGCTCATCACTTGAATGGGATGTGGAAGTAGGTGTCGAGGGAGGTGTCTGTATAGTATTTAGACTGACGGCTCCTGAAACGACCTGAACTAGCAGAATCTGTTGGTGAAGAAGGGGGTTGCGAGGGGGTACCTTGCGACTGCCCTTCAACTCAGGTATTTAAAATGGGGAGATCATACTATTAAGAAGCGTCAGAACACAGTTCCCGAATGATTGCAAGAAATACTTACTGAACCAGTGATTGTCTGAGTGACCTCAGTGTTGGTGGTGCGAGTTTTCTCAGTCTCTGTAGCATCCCCTGTAGTCTTTGTTCAAGTCGTCTTTTGCCATGAGAGTGTCTGCATTGTTCAGGTAGTCCAGGTGCGAGTCACCAGTGATTCTGACTGCCGTGAACCTAAACACTCGAAAATCAGAAAAAAAAAAGTCAGTATTATGCCGCACATTGCGAATGAGGAGACTGGAAGCTTACCTTGGGTAGTAGCAGTGTTGGTGGAGCTCATTATGCAACTTGATGCAGGAGATTGAGGCAGTACTACTATCGAGCGGAAAACAGAGTGTCACGTGCATATGCTTTTGCATGATGGAGCCAGTACTTCTGAAAACAATTCTATGGCGCAAGGGCATATCAACAAACAGCTGAAAAATCGGACAGGACTCACCTCCCTGAAGATCCGACATGTCATATCACACCGAGGCCCAAACAGTGGGCTACGACCAATGCAGGAGGTGCTAGGACCAAGACAAATCAGTGCACGAGCAGCGGAAGTACAGACCCGCAAGCGGTCTCGCATGCAAGGTAATTTTCATTATTAGAATTGATTTCCAGAACTAAAAAAAATGTTACCTAGCCATGACGTTGGAAGAAAAACTGTGCACTCGAAGTATTGCACGAACATCCCAATGATGATATAGCATTTAATGGGTTCAACGGTGATGACGATTTCGGCACTAGCATCTTGGACAGATCTGAGTCAATTGAAATTAGCCATGCAGGTGGAGAGTTACATGAACTTACCAAACAATTGATTGGTGACTTCTGGAATGTGTGAGTAGACAGGATTTAGACTTACTGCGAATCAGTGCTGATAAGTTCAATCAGAAATAAGGTCAAGTCCCATGTTCATCGAATAGACTACAGGACTAGGTGTGATAGGACCCTGGCAGGCGCACTGAAGCATTCAACAAGCAGATGCCAGCATTAATGTGTGCCTACCTAGACTGGCATCTTGCCAATGTCACATCAGATGGTCGAGGTTTTTTTGTGTGTTACTGGCAGGAAACCTCTAGTGGCTTTAGAATGCAGGAGGACGTGAATGCGGGATCAATTTGTATCAAAGTCGTGGATGTGTTTTGTGAGCAGCTGCTTCTATTAATGATGTACTACTTACTACTGCTACATCTGTGCTGATGTGATGGATTAGATGCCAAAGAACTGCCTCTGACTATTTTGTCGACAGATTCCTTCATTGCTTCAGCACTCGTCTGCCAAGGGGTTGTCCCCTGCTCTCCCATCAGCCCATCAACTGGGGTCACAATGCAGGCCCTCAACTTTTACCATATTGCACGGAAGTGCAATCCACACTTCTCTATCCAGGCATACGTGAAAACCTTGTGTGACCTATAAGGCGTGAGTACTTTGTGTTCTCCTCATTCGTAGAAATTTGATGTCTGCCTTAGGTTCAGTTTTACCCATATCTTTCATGTCAATTCTCAATTGCCCTTGACGTCTTCCTACAGATTCTCGCTAAGGTTGACACACTGATGCATGAAGCCATTGGACGGAGCGACCCTAACTGGCAGCTGATGCATGTCTGTCCAGCATGTACTTACACGCTGAAAGGCAAAGCACCTTTAAGGTTCCGATTACTCTATACAATGGATGGCAACGACTCACTCAAACGAGTGCTTAAGAAGTTTGCGTAGGACGACTTGGACAATGTACTAGATGAAGATAACATGATCGCTCACCAACGATCTGCTGAGCTGCCTTCTATGCAAGTTGTGGATAGTGACCGGTACTTGACGAGGGAGTATGTCGACCGCTTTGCAGGCAACTCTGTCAATATGCTGTCAGGTGATGACGAGGTAAGTCTCAGTTGTCATGGCTTGTTATATACTACAAATTAACTCGGTGTTAGGACAACCCATGCACTGGCCGTTGGAACAACATGAAGGATGATAAAACCAGAAGAATGCGGGGTGTCTTTGATGAGTCTGGAATTTTCATGGCCAGTCTGTTGCCATGGGTTCTCTCTTGTAATTGCAGACATGGTTCAAAGTGGTGAACAGTAAGTGTCGCACTTTACATTGACTATATTGCTAATCATATTACAGGTCGAAATATCCATTGGCTGTGGTATCCAAGCTTCTTGATGTCTTCGGGAAGGACCTTGGCGGTGGCTACGATATCGGCTGCAGGTTCAAGACGACTCTGAATTGAAGTATACTGGGTCAGTTGGCGCACGAGCTTAACCACACATCCCTTGTTGGGGCTTTTCACGGACATGCACACAAACATTTGTGTCAGCTTGATCATCTCACCACCTACGTCGAAGGTCTCAGACTTGAAGACCTTGAGGGCTGTGAACGAACGTTCTCAAAATCGAATGCGCTCACATCCTCGGTTCGCTACTCAAGTATTTTTCACCGACGCCAAGCTATTTGCAACTATTTTCAACACACAGACGACTTCAAAGTTTATGCCAACCTCTGTATGTAACAATTCATACTTTATCAAATCTCAACTGATGAATATCTGTAGCTACATTCCTACACAACAACTATAAGCAGACCCTCAATATTCTGCTCGATGAACAGTCGATGCTTCCGCAACTCATGCGTGACCTTGGCATAATGGATGATGGTGTCTTCAAAAGCTGGCTGGCTGACGAACGTGATTACCTAATGTCGTTGAACGAGGAACCGAAACATGAGACCTTGCAAATGGAATACTGGCAGAAACTCGTCAATTTAGCAGCAAGCAAGTAAGTACTGCTTAATTTTCACTTATAAAACTAACACAACAAATAGGAATGACCTAGACGCTGCCAACGCACCTTGGAGCATATCCACCCCATCCACTGCATTGTTTGGATCACTGTGATGTTGCAATGACTATCAGAAATGAAACCGCTCGCCTGCCATGCCATCGAGAACTATGAGAAAGACCTCAAAATTGTGCAGGAGCTTGAGGTGAAGCTCAGGGTGAGTCGTTGATGGACACCGGAAGATACAGAATGGAAGGATGCAGGTTGCCTTGTAGCAAACCGGAAATTTCAGTGGGCACTGGATTCCTTGGAAGGTTTGGTAGTTGCTCGGATCTTCGAGCTTTCTAAGATGAACCGTGCAGGGACAGGTAAGTCATAATGTTTGTGTGAGCTTACTGCTTACCATAAATTTAGGTTATAAACTACGAAAACATATCGGAAAAGCTTTGCAGGCTCGCTCTGCAGCTATTCGGACAGCCCTCGACTGCTACAATGCTGCAGCGCGGGCACTTTCACCACCTCATCCAACACTTTCATGGGATGAGGTGGTTGAATATGCATTCCTCTCCGACTTCGACCTTCTTCGAGATGCCCATCAAGATATATCTCAATGTGCCTGGGCCACACCCACCGGCCGGTTGGCCATGGATACATACTTCAAAATGCAACGTGCACAAGAAGAGATTCAGCGACTCAATGTTGAGATTAAGAGAATGGTAATGTACTTGCGAGACTGAGAATCTCTACCTGCACACCTGTGAGAAACAGCTTCAAACTGTGCATCCTGCGCTTGCCCATCAAGTTGGCATTCATCGTAATATTCAGTGCACGCTTCACTGAACACCATCTCTGCTGCCTGCATGCCATTGGCAAGTCACCGGGCTTTACAGGGTCGTTGTCGCCAGGGGATAGTACCAAAGATTCACCTGGGGCAAGTGCTAGCGTTCCTGTTGTCTGTATCCCTGCACAGCTAGTCACCACTGTGGTTCCTGAGGTTCCAGATGGTGTGGAAGATGCCATAGAGGATCTAGAAGACGAGGAGCATGCTGATGCTGATGGGGAAGAGCAGTCGCGTGTTCTTGAAGACATTTTGCAGGTTACTTTTGATGCTTGACTCGGCCTTAGTATTGCTTTCCTCTATTGAAAATATGCTCACAATGGATGCTATACAACTTTTAGTACATACCTACAAAAGTCCGCCATCATATGGTGTGTCCACTGTGGAGATACATGAGCTCGCTGTTGCCCACAGCAAGCTCAAAGGTTTGAATGATGACAGTGGCTTCGAATATTACACCCGATGCCGGTGGGATCTAAATATGGCAGCAGGCATGTGGGGCACAGCAGCCACTAGCCGACACTGCCCACAGCCTCTAGTAGGTAGCCCTCAGCACCCTCCAAGGGCACACAGTATTGAGTATTTATTCATTTGGGTGTGTAGAGCCAAAAGCTACTCGACTTAGACATGCCAGCACACCCAGCTGTCATGTCTAATTAGATCAGGTACTGTGGGAACTACAGGTGCATAACTGGTAGCCGGAGCAATAGCTATCCTAAAAGGAGATAGGGGCGAGCCCGGAGATGAGAACAGAGCACTGGGCGAAATAACAGGACTGGAGATCCAGAATTCTGGATCCAGAGGTATGGGATATGACATCATCTCTGCACTCTCAACTATCTCCTTTTAGAATAACTATTGCTCCGGCTACCGGTTATGTCCTTTCCACTTTGCTTACTGATCTGTTTGTTTGTACTTCATCTCCGACTTCACTGCTTTGATCTGTTGTACCCTTACTAATAGACTTTCCACATGCTTCATACACAGCTTCTACTTTGCTGACTAATTTACTTACATGATACCTACAGTATATAAACCCCTGTAATACTCTGGTACTCCTTAGTTCGAATATCACCTTAATTCCTGCTCATTCCTGCATCTCCAGACTTGAGCTTTGTCTCTTGTCAATCTCCGAGTCTTAGGATTGATTCCTTTGACTGTACCTCCAACTCTCATCTTAGTTCTGCTCATTCCTGCTTCTCTGGACTTGAGTCTGATCTCTTGGCTACCTCTGAGTCTTAGGGTTAAACTTTAGGACTATATCTCTGGCTCTACCTTAGGGTAGTCTAACTCTGTTCTGCTTCTACTCTGGACTTGTCCACAGTAGCCTAACTCTGTCCATTCCCAGCCTTCTGGAGTTCCGCCGAACTCCCCTTATGTCTGACCTCTGGACTTCCCCAGACTTCCGTCAGACTTCCCCTCTGCCTCTTGGAAATTAAAGGGCACATACTCAGGTAAGGGGCACAGCGCATGAGCTGAAGCCCAAGCCCTTTGAGTAATCTTTCCCTTGAGCACGACCTTAACACCACCGAATACTGCCAGATAGTATTTTGCACAACCTCAATGGAGCTCATGTATAGTGTGACTATCAATAGTACAATGTAACATAGTGTAACAGTTGGGTCACTGCCAAAGTCACACCATGTGATCAAGTGAGGTATGACTGTGGTCTATCTTATATCAACCCTTCCCAACTTCAAAGTACCCTCTTTCTAACTTCTACCATACCTTTCGACAGTATGTAGCAAGTATGTATATACCGCCGCAGTTAATGTTCATAGTACTATAATAATGTTGCAGGGACCCCGCGTATTTTTGTACTTTATACTTCTAACATTGTCAAAACATAATACTTTGTAGCAGGTGTGTAGCAGGACTTCTGCGATTCCAGCAATAGTAAGCATTTGTTTAGTAAGTGTTCAATACAAGTACAGAGGATATGCACTTCTGGGCTTTTTTCCGCACTATCTATCTCGACTTCATATTCATAGATAGGATAGAGAACATGCTACTAGAAACATAGTAACCTGTAAGTCTACAGGTTCATTATGTGCTGCAGAAATTGATGGTGTTGACTAGACAGAATGTCTAAAAGCGTGACATGTAGCAATGATGACTATGCCCCGAAGCGAATGAGAACTAATGACGGTGATTTTTGATCAGATATCGACGATATTGTCACTTACAGTGGCTCAAAAAACTGTCCACATGTTTGTGCTATTTTCACTATTTACATTATTGTATATGAATGGACAGGTAGACCAAGGTTATGCTAGTAGGGTACTCTGTAGTACTCCCTTGGGGCATGAATTTGAGCCCTTGCCCGTGGGAATCCATGGTAATGTGGTGGCACTATAGGCCTTACAAAATGATGACTCATGTGGACAGTTTTTTGACCCTAGATTAAAATTATATAAATCATTAGTTATGACACCATAAAGTCATGCCACTATTAAATAAATTATGAAGTGGTGTCATTATGACATTATTAAACCTATTGCTAAGTATATAATGAAGTGTGTCCCATATATCATAGTCATAATCACCATGAAAACCATCTCCTCTCCTCAAAGGGATAATATCCTTTCTCTGTCTACTACTGGCCTCTCTACTCATCAAATAGCCTCTAGAACTGGTGTATGCAAGTCTACTGTAGCTCAGCTCATCAAAGAATGTCACCCAGACAAGGAAAACTCCAGTGGAGGTTGTCCATCCAAACTCACCTCTACTGATAGGAGGGTCATTATCCAACATATCACCACATGAAAGGCTGATAATGCTGTCCAAGTCACTCATCATATCAATTCCATCATCCCTACTCCAGTTTCTTCACAAACAGTGAGGAATGTCCTCAAGGAAGCCAATCTTAGGGCTGTAACAAAGAAGAAAAAGCCTCTTCTTTCCATCACTCATAGAAGAGAAGACTAACCTTTGCCCTAGCCCATCAAAACTGGACTGTAGAGGACTGGAAGTGGGTCATATGGTCTGATGAGACTAAAATCAATAGATTTGGGTCAGATGGGAAGGTATATGTGTGGAAAAAGAAGGGGGGCCCTCTTACAGACAGAGAGATTAATGGAACTCTCAAGTTTGGAGGAGGTTCTCTAATGGTATGGGGATGTATGGGGTGGAATAGTGTGGGAATGCTTGCAGAAGTTGAGGGGAGGATGGATGCTGAGCAGTATGTGGACATCCTCAACCACCACTTGCTGCCTAGCATGGTAGAATTAGGAATTGATGAAGAAGACATTATTTTTCAACAGGATAATGATCCCAAGCATACATGGAGAAGAGCCAGAGAATGGTTTGAAGAGCACAATATTCACCTCCTTGACTGGCCAGCACAATCCCCTGATGTCAATGTCATTGAACATCTCTGGGGAGTACTCAAGAAGAAGCTTTTAGCCTATAAACACCCTCCTAAAGGAGTATGGGAGTTATGGGAGAGAGTTACAGTGGAGCGGGGAAAAATTACAGCAGAGGATTGTCAGAAGTTGATTGAAAGTATTCCTAGAAGGATAGAGGCAGGAATTAAGGTCAAGGGAGGTCACACAAAATACTAGAACAGCTAATTATCTGTGTAAAATACTTGGGTCAAAAAACCATCCACATGAGTCATCATCTTGTAAGGCCTATAGTGCCACCACATTACCATGGATTCCCACGGGCAAGGGCTCAAATTCACGCCCCAAGGGAGTACTACAGAGTACCCTACTAGCATAACCTTGGTCTACCTGTCCATTCATATACAATAATGTAAATAGTGAAAATAGCACAAACATGTGGACCGTTTTTTGAGCCACTGTACCTGTCATGCCTTGTATCACAAAACCTTCCAGCTTGCTGACTAGGTCTTGATTATCAATGCCCATCACAGATTCCATGAAGCTTTGCACACCTTCAGTCGCAAATTGAGAACCACATAGTGGAAGGTCAGTGGCTCCTCAGGCCATATACATAATTGTCTCTGCTCCAGTATGAGAGTGGAGATTATTGAGCTAGTAAAATAAAGAGTTAGACACTGGTGGTCAGTTGGCTGCAAGACACAACAGAAAATCATACCTCATTTTCAACAATCTTGAGAGTGTTAGTGACATCGTTGATCTTTGACTTAGTTGAAATGTGTTGCCCAGTAGTCTTGGTAGCCTTGTATTCCTTGTACTCCTCAACAAGATTTGCTTTCTCCTCCTCGGTGAGGCTATTGTACTCATCTTTAAAGTCCTTCATGATCCCTTCAAGTACATCTTTGCTGTGTCCGTCTGTGTGAAAAAAATAAATTGGATTAGGCTGTATCAAAAGAGAGAAAAACTTACAGTTCTCTTTGTTGCCATCTTGGCCTTTCTTCCATAGGAAAGAGTTCCATGCGCTGACCTTGGAATGCTTCAAGTGCAAGAGCGAGTGTCCCATATGCAATTCATTTTGCACTCAATGGACACTTTTCTTGTGCTCTGAAGCAATCTTGATAGCAGCGTCGTCTAGGACCTGCCATGTGTCCTCAAGAGCTTTCTGAAAACTTTGAGAAGCTTTGTGGCATTGTAGTGTGATCGCAGCGCGAGTTGGCTTAGCTAGTCCTTGGGTGCACTTTGCCATATCAACCTAAGGAAGTGGGGAGTGCAAATCAGTACCACTGATATATATCATGTAAAGACAGTAAAATCACACAGGATCAAAAGATTGATTTTTGGACAGTTTATTTGCTATAAATATTGGGCTGTGCAAGCGCACCAAAAATTAGTTTCATTGGCCACACTAGTAGACACCAGCCAAACCAATGACACATGATGTCATATACCTGATCCGACCGCTCCAATATTAATATCTGCTCCACTTTCTGACCCCTCCGCTCCATCCATCCTCCACTCCATCCAATCACAAGTCCACATTCCGCCCTACACTTCCACTCAACCACTCAACTGGTCCCCTCCCATAACCTCTCCATTCAACTGGATCTCTTTCCCCTTTTAGATATATACTTTCCCCTTTGGTACATAGACCCTTACTTCCAGATGACTGGTAATTCCTATTACCAGCTTGATCGCTGATCTGATGCATACATATTGATATCCGCCCCGACTTATGTCTTCGCCTATGTAAAATACTTACAAACTATATCCTTGGTACATAGCTTTACTACATAGTTATCCTGATCACTGCCTCATACATAGAAGTATATAACATATCCTGTACTTAGATATTTTCCTTAGTCTTGATATTACTTGTCTTCTCGCAGTGACATCTTGTGAGAATTCTCAGTAGGACCTTGCCTCCTCTGGACACAAGTCTCAACTTGCTGTCACCTCCGACCCTCTGACCCTCCGCTCCGACTTAGAGCCGTGCTCTAAGTCTTTCCCTTATTACTCCGCCCCTATCAAATATCCTCCTTCACCCCTCCACATTATCCTCCACCTTCCCCGCCCCTACCAACATTCCCCTGCTCCTATCCACTCTCTACATCACTCCTCACCTTCTCCACTCCGCTCCTAGTCAGCCTGCCGCTGGTAGCTCTTACTCCCCAACCCTCAAAGCGGTCCATTCATCCTACATGTCAGACAACGTCAGACCCACTCCAAATTCGGGGCACGTACTCAGGCTAAGGGTGCAGCGCAAGAGCTGAAGCCAAGCCCTGACCCCTCTGCTTCCTGAGTCAGCACGGTACCTAACACATGATCTACAAGAAAACAAGATAAAAAGGTAAAAAGCACAGCAACCAGCAAGGGTAACCAAAACTAGTGCCACAATCCTAACAATCTGCCAAATAGTGTTATGGCTGTGTCATTCTATGAACTTCTTTTCTTCTTTCCCTTGATCCACGCCGACTATGCACGACTCTTATCGCTCTATATTTAGTTCGGTATGACTCAGACACCTCATTACTTACACATGTAGCTTACTGATCATTACCTATTATTATGTCATACCCTGTACCCAGGTTACTATATAAACCCTGGCTAGGTGATGCTGATTCTTCAGCTTAACCTACGCTAGGTTTTCCTCTGATCATTCTGACTTGGTTCTAAGTTACCTCTTCGGTACTTAGTCTTATTTGAACTTGGGCATTCTTTAGACATTTGTCTAGAACGTATTGACAGACCTTTGGTCTTATTGGTTGATTGTTTGCCTGCATTATACTTCGGCGTAAAAAATAGAGGGTGAAGAAGAAGCCTTGTGTCAAACTTTAGCACAATGTGAAGCATCAAATATTAGATCTTGCTTACCCTGAAGCCTGAGCTGAGCTGCAAATCAGCATGAAGAGCCCAATTAAGTTTAGATGCTTGCTGTCATATACCGGATCCGAGCACCTCCAATACCACCTGTGAACATCCCTATCACTAGTCCGACCCCCTGTTTCCCCATCTGCTCCATCCCTGCTTCTCCGACAATGTATGAAGTGCATTTCAGCAGGACTAGCCCTGCTACTTCCGCCCAACTCTATTCTGCTCCTCCAACACTACCCCTATTTTCTCTGACACTATATCCCATACATCCGGATCCGGAATTCCAGATTCTGCCCTATAAAAGTCCAGTTCTCTGTCCTGTTCCACCCAGCGCTCTGCTTTCATCTCTGGACTTACACCTATCTCCTTTTTAGAACACTGCTCTCCGGTTACCGGTTGTACACCTTTCCGCTTTGCTTACTGATCCATCCGTTGGTACTTCATTTCCGACCTCATTTCCTTGATCTGTTGTACACTTACTAATAGACCCTCCATATGCTTCGGACATAGCCTTTACTGTGCTGACTGATTTACTTACATGATACCTACAGTATATAAACTCCTGTAAAACTCTGGAACTCCTCAGTTCGAATATCATCTTAGTTCTGCTCATTCCTGCAATCTCCGGACTTGAGTCTCACCTCTTGTCCACCTCCGAGTCTTAGGGGTTAAACCTTAGGACTACTTCTCCGGCTCTACCTTAGGGTAGTCTAACCTCTGTTCTGTTTCTACTCCGGACTTCCATAGTAGCCTTACTCCATCCCCACATAAGCCTTCCAGAGTTCCACCGAACTCCACCGACACTAGTCCTCCGGAACTCCCCGGACTTCCATCAGACTTCCCCTCTGTCCCCCAGAAATTAAAGGGCACATACTTGGGTAAGGGGCGCAGCGCATGAGCTGAAGCCAAAGCCCTTTGAGTAACCTCTCCCTTGAGCATGACCTTAACACTTGCTCATAATTGAGGCCCCATTTCAGAGAGCACAGATTTTCCTCCCAACAGGTATTACAAACTGTGGTGGTCAAGGTGTGCAACTTCGGAAGGATTTCATCACACAGTTCGAACCGATCAAGAATGGTGTCAGTATGCAGGCCAATACTAACAAGCAGTGGACCTGAAACTATCGGCTTCATGAGAAACACATCTGCTGGACGATGATGATAGATCTGAGTGCAAGGATTGGACACTTGAGCAGTACCACAGGGAATGGATGCTTGAGTAGTACCACGAGGACCAGTAGACACTTGAGCAGTGGCATGGTGAATAGCAGCCGAAGAATTTGAACTCTTCAATCCAGATGCGAGATCCCGTTCAAAAGACTCTTTAGGATATCCTGAACACTGGATACATGCCCCAGCAGGATCACAAGGTGCTGGAAGGTGTGGCAGCTTGCTAAGATTGATACACATGGAGGTGACTGGAAAAGACCATGAAAAGATGTATGATGGAAAAATGTACTGAAACTGACTTACAATGATGTGGTGCCTCGATACCTTTGATTTGACAATGCTTCATGAAGTGTTCCATGTGTGGAACAACAAATTCCTCACAAAAAGCTTGAACCAAGGTGGCAACATCTCCACCGATTTGTGTGGGGCTCTCCTGCAGCTCACAGGGAGTGACATACAAGTTGAGTGCCACCTCTTCTGGAGAGGGTGTGGTGTTGGCTTTGAAACCTGGGCAGTGAATGACAATCAATATCCCTCCATCAAGATGGTCTTGCATGGCAATCTGCAAGAGTATTTGATTCAATCAAACTCTTTGCAAGAGAGGGAACAGTCCTTTGTCATAACAAAAGAGTTGAATGCTGCATAGGATGGATGAAGGCCGCCTGGTTTCCTGGCGTGGTAGTGAGTTCCGTCAAGATGAACATCATGTCAAAGCAGCACATGGGCTGCAGCCTGTTGCTCGGAATTTCCGAAACCTTCTGCAAAAGTAGAGCCGTAAAGTGCCACTATGCTCTGGACTGAGAAAGACAGTTCCATGGTTATGGGGGGAAGTTTGGTGGCTTTTGATTGGGACATTGCTGTTGAGATGGAGGTGGTATGTGATTGAGAGTCAAGCTAAAGTTGATGGTCAAAAATAGATGGCGAGTGCTTGTAATGGTACTAGTCACCTGAGTCATAGATGCATAGTATACTAGGAAATGCAACTTGCCACACCTGAGTACTGAATCATGTCAGTACACTGCTACAAGTAGATAGTGTGGCCATACATTTAAATATACGTCAAGTCCCAAGTAGTAGATGCATATGTAGCAGGGAATATATCCAGAGAACTTAAGCACTACAGGATGAAAAGTATGTTGAGAACCTGCCCCTGAGCATGACTGATTTCAAGTTGGAGTCACCAGTTTACAAATTACAATCCATCAAAACACATCAATAGTTGAAAGTACAGTAGCTAGCAGATGATATGTAGAAGGGAATATGATAACTACTGCATACCAAGTACCCTCGCATCAATTGAAAATAGCAGATGATATGTAGGAAGGGGATATGATAACTCCTGCATACAATACATACCAAGCCAGCTCACACCAATTGACTGAACATTGCAGTGAAAAGCTATCATAGAAAGTATTTATTCTTCTATGCAACATATGACAAAGTATTAATCTACAACGGAATCAAGATAGCTAGCCATATTCTCCATATCTTCGGCATGCTCCTCCTGCTGGATGATGTCTGTGTCTGCATACTCAGAAATGATGATATCATGCACATCCGAATCTCCTCCTATGTGGGAATGTACTCCAATGCCCCACATGCCTGAGTAACTTGGGAGGTCCTTGATCTGATTGAGATGGAAGATGTGAAACATGTTGGTGGCCAAGTGACTTCGCCATTGTCGCTGCAGCTCAGATGCGAGGAGGGGATTAGACAATTGAAGGTCCATAATAACTTTTTTGGTCTCCATTTCCTCGTTATGGACAAAGGTGAATAATCGACGGACTTTGACATTGAGGCAAGATACTTCTTCTCATGCATGCAACAATTTGAAATATTTTGTGGTGGCCTCACGGTGAGCAGGTTTCATCCAGTCAAGTTCACGGATGTCAGTACGTGAGTGACACAATAAGTCAAATTCTCCCAAGAAGCTGTACTCTGCAATGTCCTTCCAGGACAATTTTGGATGTGGCAGGTTAAGTGCAGCAGCCTGGGTATTGTACCAGTTGATCGCATTGCAAATTGCCTCCGAACAGTGCTGTAGTGCCTTTCTGATTTGCTGACATAGTTTATATCCTGAAAGCAAATATGAAAATGGTAAAATATAATGAGATGAAACATACTACCTGTGCCCGACAAAGAAAGCTTTGAGAGCTCAAAAAGCCTCATGACTACAAGGCACTCCAGTTCATTTAACGCCATGCGATACTTGCCCAATGTTGCTTCTTCTTTGAACTGAATGTATTTGGGACCCCCAATAACCCAGCGCTCCTCAATGCGAAGTTGAATTTCCATGTGGGCAACTAAGGCTTCTGCATTTTGCACCTTTGCTTAAGCAGCATCAACACAAATGCGAGCTGTAGTAAGGGTGGCATGGATCTCTACAAAATCACCAACTCCAACAGTGGTTAGCACATTATTGGCAGCCAATCAAGCAGTGTTCCATTCCTCCCTGCCATTTAACCTATTTAACAAAATAGTATTATATGAGACAGCCACTCACTGGCATGAGTCAAGGTTGTCTAGGACTTCAACATATTGAATACAAAGACAATCTCGGATTGGAGGTTCTTTCAAGTGATCAAGATACAACTTTTCCTCATCGTAGAACTTCACAAAGTCTGCATCATCCAGATTTAATTTGCGTTTGATGATGGAGAGCTTGGCTTGTAAGGTTTGAATGACATGTATTGCTTCCTGGTAATGATTGAACAAAAATTTGCCTATGAGATTTCAGGATCAGAGGTGCCACTGACAAAAATTGCTTACTCAAGGTGGCATATTTATTGGCATCCCAGAAGTTGAAATGTTCCTCAATAGACTGATGCCAATGGAAAGGACTAGCGTGTCGCGTACTCCATGTGAGCTCATTCAATGGTGAGAATATATGTTCGCAGCCTTCACCTTCGGTGTGGCCAGTCCTGCTGATATACATAGGGTGCCAGTCCAGCTGGCATTTGTGGTTATGAGCATGTCCATGGAATGTGCACACCATCATGCATAAAGCAAGTGCATCTGCACACAAACCCAAAGAACTAGTACTCAGTGTCTTCGAAAATGCGCAACCAATGTCATAAGCGCATGAGCCATTCTGCCCATATACAGCCATTAGGTGATTGATTATAGCAAGCGGATACTTCACTCTAAATAATGGATGAGTTTCAGTATATCTGGTCCTGGTGGTGTCGGTGCTCACAATTCTCCACTGTGAATCATATTGCAGGCTACCAAGACAAAACAGTGATGGCATGCAGTGATGAAAATACCAGATTCATCGAAAACTGAAAACATTTTCTTGTGTTGTTCAGGTCCAGCATTGCACCAATGGGCTGTACAATGGAAAACAGCCTTGCCTGGGGCTTCTTTGCCATCACGTACATCCTCCCAGTTATCGACCTTGTCGTTCTTGTCGAGTGCCTGGTCATAGGGTTATTTTACATACTTAAAACTGATGATACGAAGTACACCCACAGTTCTGGACCTGACTTCGTCTTTGAATTTATCTACTGCCTCACGACTGATCCAGTAGTCCGATCTCAGCCGATGAGAGTCATCACGAGGAACAGAATTAGGACTTGAAGATGCCCAGCGCTTAAGGCTATTATTGCCGTCAATGGTGGCAAACCAAGCAAATTGGAGTGGCGATTCATCTACCAGTTTGTAAGTACATGCTGGGCACACATTCAACAGCCGCCAGTTTGGAGTGTCATGCTTGAGTGCCTGCTTCAGCAATACATCAACATGATAGACAATGTCAAGAAAAGTGTCATAAGCAGCAGAAAATTGAGAGCAGAGATATGGGTGATACAGCATCTGAAGAAGGGTAGGTTGAAGTGTAAATAAATGCAAAAAAGTAAGGTAGTACAAACATCATGCAAGTGGCACAGTGTTTTGCATTGCGCCTGGATGGTGAATTGGGGATAAGTCCGGTGAGCTTGCCGATAGGCTGCAAGAGTATGAAGGCTGATAGCAATGTTCAGAAACAAAGGTAAACACCCAAGATAACCATTATAAATCAGTGTCTCATTGGGGTACTTATGGCATGGCAGTACATTGAATGATGTTTGGTGCCGAACTGCAGGTCAAACTTGAGTATAAGCAGTGGCAACAATAGTCAGGACCTACAGAAAGTATCAACAAGCTCAATGTTGCTGAGTACTGGGGCAGTATTGAGAGAAGGATTGTCATTTTCATTCAAGACAGTAGGTATACCATCCCCAGAATCACGAGATCGGTAGTCCAGATAGGCATGAATGAGTTCGTTCATTTGCATGTCCCAATGATTTTTTTGAAGGTTGGTATGATCATGTTGAGTCCTAGGGTCCACATAGCGGCTGACAAGGAATTGATAAGTGTGTATGTACAAACAAAACAAATCACACACCTACAATCCAAAAAGGTCTGCCATTGTGTGAGACAGCCCTTCAAAAGCCTCATATTTGCCACCTTCGTGGCTGAGGTCAAGTCCCTCATCACCTGGGGCTGGCTCATATGGTATGTCATTAGTGATCATGCCTTGATCAGCAAGCATGCTCTTGACATTTTCTCGATCCACTGCATTCAACTCTAAGACTACATCAGCTCTGAGTGGTGGTCATGCAATGGACATACCTCACAACTCAGACTGGCACCTAGCATCAACAGCATCCATGTGCTTCTTTTGAGCTGAAGCAGTAAGCACACCAGAAGTACGCTGACCGCATTTGAAACCATGTGTGATGACTGATTTAGACAAGCCACTTATTTTGGTTGATCTCTGTGAGTGAGACATTGAGAGGGCAGAGAGAGAGTAGCAGAGGGCATACATACAAGCCTAGTACACATGGCAATCATGAGGCAGAGGACACATTACAAGTATGGGGTGAAAATGCTGCATAGTGCTATGGTGGGCTATATCGAAGGAGGCAGGGCCCAATATGAGACCGGTGACAATTGTGGTCAGTGAGATCTGAGAGGCTGGGACTCAGGAGGTGGTGGACATTGTATGCTGTGGTGGAGAGTACCAGGAGTGCATGGAAATGCTCCAAATAGATGGTGGGGAGTAAATATTTAGGGGTAGGAGGCATTGGGCTGTGAGGTATTGGGCTGGGAGGTATTGGGCTAGGAGGCAATTGGGCTGGGAGGCATTGGGTGTGGAGGTGTTGGGCGTGGAGGTGTTGGGCGTCGTATGCTATGGTGGAGGGTATCAGGAGTGCGTGGGAATGCACATCAGTAAAATACCACGTTACTTAATCAACTTGGCTGACTTGGCTGAAAACTGTTTGCTCTCTCCTGCAACATTCACTTGGCATATCTTGATTTTTTTAGTGCAAACTATAATAAAATATGTATGTTAACATAACCCAACAACTTTTTTCTGAACATGTTGAAGTTGAAATTTTGGCAAAGTGTGTCAACTTCTGCAAAGTCACTTAAGTGCGAGTTAAGTCTGTTTAAGGCAGCTTAAGTAATGTGATATTTTACTGATGCGTGTTAGGTACCGTGCCAGCTCAAGAGGCAGAGGGGTCGGGGCTTGGCTTCAGCTCTTGCGCTGCGCCCTTAGCCAAGTATGTGCCCCGAATTTGGAGCGGGTCTGACATTGTCTGACGGTAGGACGAGTGGACCGCTTGGGTCCGCTTTGGGGGTCAGGGAGTAAGAGCTGCTAGCGGCGGACCAACTAGGAGCGGAGCAGAGAAGGTGGGGAATGATGCGGAGGGTGGATAGGAACCAGGGAGATATTTTGATAAGAGCGGAGATGGCGGCGAATAATGCAGAGGATAGGAAAAGGGGTGATAGGAGGATATTGATAGGGGCAGGGTAATAAGGGAAAGACTTAGAGCACGGCTCTAAGTTGGAGCGGAGGGTCAGAGGGTCGGAGGTGACAACAAGTTGAGACTTGTGTCCAGAGGAGGCAAGGTCCTACTGAGAATTCTCACAGGATATAACTTCAAGAAGACAAGTAATATTAAGACTAAGGAAAAATATCTAAGTACAGGATATGTTATATACTTCTATGTATGAGGCAGTGATCAGGATAACTATGCAGTAAGGCTATGTACCAAGGATATAGTTTGTAAGTATTTTACATAGGCGAAGACATAAGTCGGGGTGGATATCAATATGTACGCATCAGATCAGCGATCGAGCGGTAATAGGAATTACCGGTGATCTGGAAGTGAGGGTCTATGTACTGAAAAGGAAAGCATATACCTAAAGGGGAAAGAGGTCCAGTTGAATGGAGAGATTATGGAAGGGGACCGGTTGAGCAGTTGAGTGGACGCACAGGGCGGAATGCAGACTTGTGATAGGACAGAGCAGAGGATGAATGGGGTGGAGGGGTCGGAAAGCGGAGCGGATATTAGTATCGGAGCGGTCGGATCAGGTATATGACAATGCGCCAAATAGAAGTCGGGGAGTATAAGCTCGGGGCGGGAGGCATTGCCAGCAGGAAGATAATTTAGTACATGATTAGATAGGTAGAACAGGTAAATGCTTCAAGTACCTGTGGTGAGTACTAATGAGTGGGAGCTGACCGCATGCTAATAAAACAAGTATAATCTCAGTCTCTTGAAAGAAGCTCATATAACGAGCTATGTACCTAATAAAACAAGTATACTAATGACTCATTAGTTTAGTTTTCTAATCGATATAATGATACTAATAACTCACATCTCAGTCTCTTGAAAGAAGATCATTGGTCGGACAATAGAATAGCTGGAACATTCCGTTCTTAACGTGAGAACGGATGAAGTGATAGCAGAGGTCGATGTGTTTCATTTGCGATTGGAACTTTCCATTTGATCCAAGTGCAATTGCCGCTTGGTTGTTGCAGAAGATGGGTGTGGGGAGTGGGGTAGGTTCATAGAGTTCACCGATGAGCAACTGAAGGTAAAGTACCTCTCTTGCAACGCTCATCAATGCGATATACTCAGCCTCAGCTGTAGATAACACAATCAGTGGTTGCTTCTGTGCACTCCATGCTATGGGACCTCCGTTAAGCATGACAATGTAGCCAGACATCGAGTGTCTGTGTTAAGACCATGCTCGGGGTAAAGCGGAGTCTGGGGGGCTTGGCTTCAGCTCGTATGCTGCGCCCCTTACCTGAGTACGTGCCCCTAATTTCGGGATGTAGTCCGATGCGAGTTCTATTGGTTCTGACAGGACGTCGGAATGGGGATCCTCTGAAGGAGGACCGTCGGACTACTAGGTGAGCATGGGAAAGTCGGGCGGGGGACTACTGGGGTCGGAACCCACAGTAGGAACAGAGCGGGAGGTACTGCTCAGATGAAGTCCGAGGCAGAGCGGAACGGAGGGGGGCGGATATGAGGGGAGTGTAGGGATTGGATTTGATGCACAGGGAGTCCGGAACGGGAAGGAGGAGGAACGAGGACCCGAACAGGATAGCGGAAACGGAGGACAGGATAGGAACGGGGACAGAACGAGGGACGGAAACGACGGGAAGGAGCGGAGAAAACCCGAGGAACAGGAAGAACCAGGGGACGGAAGGAACGGAGGAAAGCGGGGAGGAAAGCAGATAGCAGAACACAGGATCGGAGGATCACGAATCCGGAAAGCAGACCCGAACCTAGAGATGAGGCCCGACTGGGGTCCCCTAGGCTGGGGAACAGGAGTTTTGACTTGGGAAAGACTTTTAAGTCAAAGGACAGAAGAGCAGGGCTTAGAAAAGGTAATATTCAGACTGAGTATCTACAGACGAAGGTACATAGGTTTATATACTCTAAGTAAGGAGCATAGCATAGCAGAAGGCTATGTGCTGAGTGTACAGGATTACAATGGGGTGACTGAGACATATGAGAATGAGGCTCGGAGAAAAGTATGTACACGACGGATCAGAAATCGCTAGGGTATAGGAATTACCGGTGATCCGAAAAGCGGAACTATGATACTAAACAGGGATAGGACCAGTTGAGTGGTTCCTAGTCTAGGAGTGGACCGGTGAGGCGGTCGGACGGACTAATAGTCAGGTGGGGGAATACGAGCGGAACTGAAGGACCCCTGTGGGTCAGGAAAAGCGGAGGGAGTAGGAGTAGGATCGGGCAGACCAATAGGGTGGAGGAGCGGAACCCCAGATAGGGTCGGATGGAAGGGGTATGGGGTTGGGGGACATAGGGGTAATGTCGGGAAAGCAGAACGGGGTCGGGCGGAGGTAGCAGGGCTAATCCTGCTGAGATGCACTTCATGCATTGTCAGGGGAAGGAGGGATGGAGCGGATGGGGAAACAGGGGGTCGGACCAGGGGTGGGGATGCTTATAGGTGGTACTGGGGATACTTGGATCCAGTATATGACAGTCTGTGCGGTTGCAATGCCCAGTTGGCGTTGATGAATGCTTTGATGCCTCTGTCCGTGGAACCAAGGGTGAGCTCAAAGTTGGCTGTACCTTTCAGATACCGTAAAGCACGCTTACTGGCCTCCCAGTGGGTTCTGCCCAGGTTGCGCATGAACTGCAAAAGGGTGGCTACAGCGAACACGATATCAGGTCGTGTGCTCGTGGCCACATACATGAGTGAGCCAATGGCCCGTTGGTATGGTATGTCACGCATCGCCTGTAGTTCTGTCGCGGTGCTGGGGGATTGATCTATGGACAGGGTGGTACCGGGTTCCATTGGCGTCAGTGCATTCTTCGCGTCGCCCAGGTAAAAAGGTTCGACTATGGTATCCACATATGCTGTTATGGCTGTGTTGTTCTATGAACTTCTTTTCTTCTTTTCCTTGATCCACGCTGACTATGCATGACTCTTATCAATCTATATTTAGTTCAGTATGACTCAGACGCCTCATTGCTTACACATGTAGCTTACTGATCATTACCTATTATTACGTAATGCCCTGTACCCTGTTTACTATATAAACCCTGGCTAGGTGACACTGATTCTTCAGCTTAACCTACGCTGGTTTTCCTCTGATCACTCTGACTTGATTCTAAGTTACCTCTTCAGTACTTAGCCTTTACTTGAACTTGGGCATTCTTTAGACAGTTGTCTAGAACGTATTGACAGACCTTTGGTCTTAGTTGATTGATTGTTTGACTGCATTATACTTTGGTGTAACATATGCCTTCTGCGAGAGGGTCAAGGTGCGTGCTTTGCAATCTCTTGTTACCTTCAATCCTAGGAGCCAGTTGAGTTCACCCAGGTCTGAAATCTCAAAGTATTCGAGTAGCTGCACTTTGAAGCGGTTGATATGGGAGATGTGGTTGGAAGTGACAGCCATATCATTGACTGATACGGTGATGACGACATGCTCTTCTTTG